CTGAAATCCCACTTCTACCAGGAATAACTTTAATCCTGTTCTTTGCTTCAGAGACAGTGCGTCCCATTCTTGATTCTAACAAGCAATTTAGAGAAAGAGTAGGCTTTCAACAGGAAAAAAATTGGGGAGCAGTTCTGAAGTGCTAGCAAAGCAAACTACTTTTCATCAGCTAGTACATGGTGTTGTCTCTTTGTGGTAGCAGCATCTCCAGCCTCCTGCCAAATTTGTGCAAAAGTGGAGACCACTGCCTCATGCAGGAGCAGGTTTGACTCCTGCCTCTAGAAGACAGGTGCTCGCAGGTTCCATGAGTTTCACTCCAAGTATCAGGCAGAATCTGCTGCCTTGGAGAAGCAGTGATCAGCAAACTGATCAGTGGTAACTTCAGTTCACATGAAGCGTGGGCTTCTGCTGAATTATTGCAGTCAGAAAAGCAATGGTTTTGCTTCCAGTGCCTCCAGCGCTCTGCGAAGGCAGGAGTCCCTGATCTCCACAGGCACCTGCGCCCAGCCTGCATCTCTCCCAAGTCAGCAAGTCCTGCAGAGACTTGAGTCTTGATGCCTTCCTTACAACACTGGCACAAAGTCTGAAAAGGTCTGGTTTTTACAGGTAAAACTACTCTTGGCTCAATTTCAGATTTCTGACCTGAGGTGTAACAGCAGAATGAGTCAAAATTAAACTCAACTGAAACAATGGGAGCTCTTTGTCAAGGCTGAGGGCTACAGGCACAGCAGGTCCCAGAGCTGAATAAGGAGATGAAAACATAAAGCCCCACTGAGAGCACTGGCACGAGGAGCTGGCACACAAAAGTAAAGCATGAGGCAAATACAGAGTAGACCCAAATTGTTTTGACTGAAGTGTGCATCAAAAACTACTGAAATGGCTATGAATCAATCTCATTTACATGATAAAAGGCTGTCATCTTACCAAATCATTTGCTTAAAGAAAAAAGAAGATCAAACTGTTTGACAACAAATGGCAATACATTAGAATAGACACCAATGGAAAGTGGGTTACCCACATTTTCTGCTTTAAGAGGTGCAGGGGCCTTGCAGTAATAGGTCAAAAATCGAGCCACTTCCTCCCGTAAACTGAGAAAGACACAAAAGCAAATATTGATTCAGCTTATTCCCCAGGTCCACATCTCAGGAAAACAAAGCCAGGGCACAGTAAAGTCTGCTGAAAATAGCTAGAAAACAGGACCTCTCAGGCCCATGCCACAGACATGACTTTTACACATGGCAAAGGTGTCACAGGTAACATCTATAATGGTGCATACATTTCTCATGAGCTTTAATCGAGGCACAGAAGGATTAAAGTCCCCAAGTGTTCACTATGTTTCAAAGAACTGTTTTGAGTTACCTAATTTGTTAATATAAACAGTGCTTTTAAAACTGTGTTTGCTTTAGAAAATTTGCATCTTCTCTCGCGTAAAAGGATTTTTGAATTGATGAACAGGTAGGGCAGCTAATTTACAGTTTTGCAGATGATTAAATGATCTAGAAAAGTTTTAACTAATGGGTGTAGCAGAAGCAGTTTGTATACATCCATGTCAGACAAGGAGTCAAAAAGAGAAGCGTCAGAAAGAGTCAGAAAAGAGAAAACTTACAACATATGTCCCTTCCAGTCGGGATACTGAAGCAGCGGAGGCTCCATCAGATTCATATCGGTCTGTGTCAGCTGGGAGCAATGACAAGAACCATTAAAAGCACAATCACTGATATCGGAAGCATGGAGATAGACGGGATCCATGTACAGGTACAAACCTGCATAGACACACACACACGCAACTTCAACGGTTGTAAAACTGGACTGAGAAAGCCACTGACCGTCAAAACTAATGCAGCTTGGAGAAGCAAGGACCAGCAAACTGATCAGTGATAACTTCAGGTTATGTGAAGTACAGGCTTCTGCTAAGTAATTGCAGCCAAAACTTCGCTGCACAGAGATCTACAAAAAGGACGCAGACCAGTACACGATGCCCATAACCAAGATGCCTGCAGATGACTTTCTCAGCAAACAGAGCAACACAGAGAGTCCCATGAGTGTTTTGCCCAAGCTCTGAGGACAACAGCTTTCAGCTGGAAATTAAGTCCAATTGTGAAATCTCAGGTCTAGACCATCAGAAAGAGATAGAAAGGATTTTGAATCACAGTCAGATCCATATTTTCTTTAATAAACTTCCAATATATTATTTTTTTAACAAATTCTAGCTTTCATTCATGTCTCACTTCCAAGTTCCTGCAGCTCCTTCAGATCTGTAATTCTGATAAGTTTTGGTAAGTGTTAAAGCGTAATGGGAGCTTGCAAAAGACAGGAAAAAAATGAAATTATCTTGATAATTCTTCCCCGGGACAAGCACAATAAGTTCCTTATTAGGAGTTCATTCTGATTTCAAAGACAGATTCACCTGAACTGTGGAGGCCTTGTTAATGTTTATATTTAGATAAAGTATGCACACTGCTTATATCTGAATATTTTCAAGGTTTTAAATATCAGGGTTTCACAGGATCCAGTTCTATGAAGTTGCAAGGGAAAGCACAGTGGTGATACGGGCAGAGAGAAAAGGACATCTTACATAAACAAAAAGGGAATAAACAAATATTATGTACAATGTACCTTCCAAATATTTAATGGCAACCAAATCTATGAGTTAATATTAAAAAAGGTGAGGGTGGGGTGACACGACAAGTAGGTGATAGTGCAAGGGAGGACGGAAATTCAACATGCAGTGTGAAAGTTTCTCCCACAATAACAAAACCACAACATTCTGTATTGGTGTTTTAATCACTGGTGCCAAGCTCTGGAGTCTAAAGACACTGTCCTTACCCCATGCAGAATTACAACCTGATATTATAGGATTAAAGTTCCTTTATTCAGCTGTAGATGTTCTTGAAGCCTATGTAGCACAAAACTGTGCCTCCTTAGATCTCTCTCCTAAACTTACCTAGAGAATGCAACATAAAACATATCAGCAGACTTGGCCAAAACTGACTATGCAATAACAAAGAGAAGAACCCTTAAAGGTAATGCGTCAAGGGCTAAGAAAAACAGATGGGCCAGCTGAACGGAAGACCATCTGAATCTCACGCCACAAAATAGTCTGTAATTTAAGGGTCAAAAGTTGAAGACAGTAATTTGATACATTACTTTATTCAGTGGAAACAGTAAGTATTTATTCTCCCAAATAGCGACAAATTATTTGCCTACAATCCCAGCTGGTGCTGCATTCAGTGAATCCGTACTGTAACTCCAGGCTGAGATGACTGAGAAGCTGGCAACAATATCTTTGTTCAGCTTGTTGCCACAAGCATGATTCCTTGTCTCACTATAGCCAACGAAGTCTTAACTCATTTTCATAATAAGGCTAATTAAGATGCAGCTGACTACCGTCTCCCTCTGCACTACTTACTGCAGGCTCGGTGTTAGTTTTAAGGGGAAAGGACAGTGAAGGAAGGAAGGTACCACCTACGCAGCCTAGAAGGCACCTTTTTTGTGCAGGCAGCAGCTCTGCCTTACCTGTTCTTCTAGCTGGAAGGCGGAGTGGTGGGGTAGCGTCCCCCCGAGTCAGTGGAGTGGCAGCCAGAAATAAAACAAGGAACATTTTGAGGGTGGGAATTGGTGGAATGGGAGCAACCACGAACTTCAAACCACAGAGGCCGACTGTCCGACCCTGAGCCACCTTCCCTCCCCGCAGACAGCTTCAGGTAGGAGAAACAGTCACCTGCCCGCCTCGCAGGCTGCACCGGGGCAGTGATTTTAACAGAAATCAAGAAACATTCCCCTACAGCACGGTTCTGTTGTTTTCTTTTGACTACTTCTACTTTTTGAGTTGTGCCATGTGTTTCATGCCTCTCCCTGGTGCAACTGAACAAAGTGAGCAGGTAGCAGCTGACCCACTCTGATTTCTAAAGATTTCAAGAGCTGCCACCCTTGCACATTTGGGGTAAGTTCAGAAGCGGGTGTCCAAATCGTGTGACTTTATAAGGGATAGATGCGAAGAACCTTAAAATTAAACAGAGTTTAAAACTAAATTCAAAACCTCTGTATTAAATCAACTCCTGTCAGCAGGAGAAAATAAAATGCATCTTATTTTCATTTAGTTTTCTGAGCCAAGCACATCCCCAAAGGAAAACCCATCATGAAGAGGAACAGAAAAACACCCTTGTTCCTATCCTCCTGGAAAAATAACATAAATAAATGTACAAATAGCTGGATTCGAAAGTGACTTCCAACACATAAAAAAATCATGACGAAGAACTTTACCAGAGAAACCTGAGCAACAGCAATAACTCTGGGAAAGCACAAGCACTGAGGAGGAACTACACAGCAAATTCAGTGTATCTTTTTGGAATAGGACTTACCCGCTTAGACATCAGGTCAAAGCAGAGTTTATTCTCACTGGTGCCAAAGTTTATTATACCCTAAAAAAAGGAAATAATTTATTTTTATAGACACAAAAAATATGTGCATACATCACCTTAGTTATCACTTCACTAAATTGCCTCCAAAAAGCTTACCAAGGAAAAGTCAAAAAGCAGTTCACATAAACTTCACCATATATAACTTGAGACATGTATCTGTATGTGTGTGTGTTTACATATATATCCCAGGCACTCAGCTGCTTAGTCAATAAACTGTAAGTGAGTATGTACGAAAGGTTTATACTTCTTTACAGAATATGTTTAACTTAATCTTGAACTCACTCACTGGTATATATCTAACCACAAAAGAAACCCTGAAACAGTGCTGAGAAAACCAAGGCTTACCCCTCTGTAGCAGTTTTAAACAAGGTTTTGGATACATCTCTTTATCTAAAAGCATTTGTTTACCAGTCATTATCATTCCCCTCCACTGATTTGCTCAGAAACCACATAAATACATAGTCGTGAAAAGTGGTTAAAACACTAAATTTTCCCCTCTGGAGAGATGACCATACAGTTCCAGGTTTAGGATTTAGCCCTGCTTATATAGGACTACATTAGATCTTGAAGAGTTCAAATCACTAGCACGTTTTCGTTATTGGAAGAGGTTGGGTAAATAAATTTTTAAAAATGCAAAAGGAAATCTAAGCAACTGTACCTTTATGTTATTAAAGTACAAGTCCAATTTTAGGTATTTGTTTAAAAAGCTACCTCCTACATCGACAGCAGTTGGTAGAAGAGGCAGTTTGTGCCTCATAATGCACCTTGTATCAAAAACTTCACTGTGTTTTTTTACCTTAAAAATTTAGTTTTCACCTCCCAACACAGTGTGACTAAAGTCAGGGCTAACAATAAAACATTTTTAAAATTTCAAGTAGTTCTGTATCTGTATGCGAGACCTATTTAAAAGTAATCCACACATAAATCCTTATTTATATTTACTACACTTGTTACACTAATAATTTGGCCTGAAGTATTAACACTCAGCCTTTGTGCCACAAGGGGGGTATGATGAGCTACTTACAACTGAGCAGTCGAGCGTAAACAGGAGAAAAAGTGCTGAGCCTTAGTTAAAAGTAACTTAAAAAAAAAAAAAGGTCTACTACTTAGTTGTTTTACCTCCTGCACCCATCACCTGCAATAACCAGATATAATCAGGTAATCAGAGATGATCTTCAGTGGGCAACAGAGGTGACGAGGAAAGGAGGAACAGGAGCTCTGTTTGTTCCTGCAGATTTCTCACGTCTTTCAAGGTCTACTACTGCTATTACTTCCCTCACAGGGAAATCAGAGCGTGCAAATCTGAGCTGAACCCGGAGTTCATCTTTGACAGACAGATGATCTGCAAAGATCCTTTTTATTTCTCTTCCTCAAACGAATAGCTTGGCCCGACGTGTATTAGTGAGATCAAAAAAAAACCCCATACTTTTAGCATATCTGTCGGCAAACCTCTAAGAATTTTTTTTTTTTTTTCTAGCAAGAAAGCCAGGAAAACACTTTGAGGTTCTCACTCACATTGGGGTTCTTGTCTTCATCATACTTGTCAGCATGATAAGCTTTGTACCCTTCCTCAGTGGAGCCACGGAAAATGTTGGCAATGTTGCCGCGAGCAGAGAGGTAGGGGCTTCTCTGGAAGTCGCTGGGGTTACAGAAGCCGTGCACGTCAACCCTTCTCTCGGTAAGCGGCCGAGCCCTCATCTCTTGCAGGTCGCCCCCTCCTCCTCCCATTCCCACAATTTCAGACAGTGCCTGGCTGAAGTCCAAGCCCCGAGGCATCGCAACGGAGGACGAGGAGCCGCTATGGCTCTGCTTTAGGATGCTGAGCATCTGAGCAAAGACATTGAACATGCGAAACTCATGCTCCCGCTCCAGTTCAAACCGGCGCTGCTCCAGTTGCATCCGACGCTCCTCCACATCCAAATCTCGCTGAAATCGACGTTCTTCCATCTGTAAAAAGCGCTCTTCCATGGCCCGCTGAGATGTCAGGGTCTTCAGCAAGAGATCATCGAGAGGGTCCTTCACGCGCTGGCCTTTCCGCTTTTTTCTCAGCCGATGCAAGGCGGAGAAGCCAGGCCGGGGAACCACGTTCTGGATCCGTGACGAGTTGGCCATGTTGGGCTCACTGAAACCTGTGAATACGTAAAACCAAGGAAGAAAAATTAAACGTGCAGCAAGTAAAGCGGCATGGACGCGCTTTGTTGCCTTCCCCTGCCCCTCCTAGAAAACACCCTTCGATCTACTGTAGGGTTTTATAGGAAAACCAAAGCAAAACCTGTCAGGTACATCTTGAAGTTTGCGAGTGTTTTTGAAGTTTGTTTTAAATTTCACACATCGGGCACCCCATTATGCTGCCAGCCCCAGTCCCATATGTGGCCTCTGAATTAACCTGAATGATCACCAGTTTCCTCCACTGGACTAACCACTACAGCAAAGAGGACATAGCATTTTTTCCTGATCTCAGACATTAACCTCACACTGGTTACTGTCTCTCTCCTTCCCCATCGTGCCGTGCTTTTCCATCAGCCTGCCCTAGACTGTCTTGGAATCCCCAGGTTTTCCAGACCGTACCCTTCCTGGCAGCCAAGCAATGGCCAACTGCGGTTTCAGTGCAGGAACCTCATCTCCTCTAAACAGATCCGCTGTTTCTGCCAGTGACTTTCAAAAACACCTTCTTTCCAAGTGCTAATGAGCAGCCTAGGAAGCCAGGCAATGATTACTCCTAAGTATTTGTAATTGTTGAGTGTCCTAAAAGATTAGATCCGGAAAATATTTTAAAAGAACGCAAGGAAAGTTTCACCTGCAGGTTTATAGTGTAGCCATGGCAGAAGAGGGTCTCCTGATACAATTCAGCATGAGGACGGCAGACAGCCCTGGTGGTGTTCAAATGATACCAAAAAGCATGCAATTTTTTTTTTTTTTCAGTAAGATAAGTACCGTCAGCATTGTATGCAGAAATCTAGCACAAATGCCTAGCCCGGCTTATGGCAGACATGCCAGCCCTTTGGATTTCATACACACTATTTAGCCTAGCGCGGTTATTTTAGGTTTTATTTACCTGCTGCAAGATACGTTTCGGGAATGGCCAGAAGACTATGAATGCGGATACCAGCCTTCTACTTTAAAGCTTTTTGGGACGTGGAAAAATAAGGATCCAAACGTCAGTGCGAAAACCAGGTGTCTATCTCTGCACCAGAAAAAAAAATCTCTCTTTCTGGGAAACCGGGCAGAAACCTTATGCTGGAATGTAAAAGGCTATCCCTACCTGAAGGTGAAACACTGGTTTCAATGGGAATCTCCACCCTGGAGATGGGAGAGTCGTTCTGGGCCCTCTCCAAGAAGGCTCTCTCCATCTCATGTTCTTCAGGGGAGCCCTGCTGGTAAGACATGGATGGTGGGGGCTCTGGGGTCAAGCAGTGTTCATCAGAGTTCACCTCCTCACATTTGATTTCCATCAGTTCAGGGTGCTGGGAGTGTCCAAAGGGCAGGGCCGAGGAGGCGAACTGGTGGTGGTAGCTCTCCACCATGCTGCCCTGCAGCACCTGCTGAGCCATCATGCTGCCGCCCAGGGAGCCGTAGGCCAGGGCGGGCCGGCTGGTCAGCACCCGGTCCATCACCTCGTAGAACTTCCAGGTCCGGCCGCCCCGCGGGGCCTTGCTGTTGTCCTTGATCCGCCGGTACTCCAGCTTCATCTTCTTGATCTTCTCCCGGCACTGGTCGCCCGTCCGGTGGATGCCCTTCTCCCGCAGCACCTCGGCGATGCGGTTGAAGACGTGCTGGTTGCGCAGGCAGCTCTCCAGCTCCACCTGCACCGACTCGTCGGCCCAGAGCTGCAGCAGCTCCACCACCT